TGTAACATCTTCTGAAGATGTTACCTAGCCAGGTAATGAAACGTTTGTAAGAAAACAACCAAGCTCAGAGAACCCCAAGGACTCCAGTGTTATAGCATTTTGCAGTTCATTAGAGCCTGCCATCCATGCTATAAAAACTGCCACTACTTACACCATATTCATAGCAACCAGGAGAGAGGATCCCACCCTTCTTCCATTCCCCCATACCTCCCTTTTAGAACTTTCTTTCTCTGCCTCCAATGAGTAGGATGTTCGTCATCCTGTTCCTGGAGCGTACCTGGAGAACGAACCCGTGTTTCTCAACAGACATGTCTTCCCTTGGTCCTTTTGTTTTGCCTCTGGTGAGGACAGTGTGGTAGTGCTCTCCCATCCAAGGAAGACTTCTGTGAGTGGATCTATATCTGTCCTTACCAAAAGGGAGGGAGATCCAGAATTTCCATTGACCCCTGATCCTAACTCATAGGATTGCAGCTCAACATTGGGGCAGCCACATTTACAACCTAGAGGCAGCTTCCTAATTCTGCTTCTAGCCCAAGAAAGCTTGTGATGTGAATGTCTTCATCTTTAAATCAAGAATGAGCAAATTCTAGCCCCAAGCCATGTGCCAGTTGTCCTTTCCCCATGCCTTCCTTGCAGCTGCCTTGGAGGCCTAGCATCAACATTCAGTAGCGAATTGCTGAATTACAGGATTGCAATTTTTATTTTATTTTTGACATTCCCTCTTAAAATAAGAAATAAAATATTAAAACTAAGCCTCTGCTGGTCTTAACACACCTATTTCATTATTCCTGCTGCAGCCTCAAGACCTGCAGTGAAGAGGGCTGAAATATCAGCCACACTCCCTTAATGTGGTTACCATGTCACTGTTGTGCCCCCTGAAGTCCTTGAGGGCCATTTAAGGATCTACAAGTTCTTCTTAATTGTGCCTATGAGTTGCTATGGAGACCCTTTAAATAGCTATTTAAACCTATCTATTACTGAATGGAACTAGCGCATTCCTTCCTCGAATGTAGGAAACTCATGCACAAAGCTTGAGTGATAATGAAATTACAAATAAACCAAGAACTCCCCTGCCATTTCACACGGTTCAGTCCAGAATTCTAATTTGTACGTTGTCTGCAAAAACCTGTAAGCTAAAAATACAGCAGCATTTGAACCTAATCTTTCCTCCAGCAAGACCTTTGTTCCTGGGAGATTTTTTCCCAGTAATTGTCTATTACAGGGTTTCTCAACCTTGGCAACTTTAAGACGGGTGGACTTCAACTTTCTGGCTGGGGAATTTTGGGAGTTGAAGTCCATCCGTCTTAAAGTTGCCAAGGTTGAGGAACCTTGGTCTATTACATCCCTTAAAAGAATTCTTCACAGAGATTTCTTTTGCCTCCTCTCTGGAGAATTAAACCTTCTGTAGTTTATTTGGTTTTTGGTGTCGGGTTCTTGAGACAAGAAAGAACAAAGAAAGCAAGATTAAGGGGTGAAGCAGAAGTGCAGGAGATGATCTAACCGAGAGGAACCTGGAAGCCCTATTTTCCACTTATTTCGAGAGAGGCGGTACCACCTATCTCTAAAGCATTCAGAGGGAGATGAGCAATTGATAATTAGGCAGAAACACTTAGCTCCCTGCTTCAAATATCGAGGAGGCATGAATAGAATGAAACTAAAGAAGAAGACACAAATGCCAGGAATAGATTAGAGCAGTGTTTCTCAACCTTGGCAACTTTAAGATGCTTCCCCAAGCCAGCCATGGGGAATTCTGGGAGTTGAAGTCCACACATCTTAAAGTTGCTAAGGTTGAGAAACACTGGATTAGATGAAAGGTTCAGCTACCCCAGCATGATAACCAACAAGGTGTACCTTGGAGGCCCTCAAGTAAATCATGAGCTTCCCCACTGTAGTTCCCCAGTGATTTATTAACCAGATCAACTGGGGTTCGGCGCATAGATCATATATGGAATTTGCTACCATTGGATGTAGTGGCCAAAATCTTGGGTGGCTTTCATGGGGATTACAAAAATTCCCAGGGAATAAGATGATTAGCAGCAACTTGTCAAAATGGCTATGTAAGATCTCTGTAATGGAGGCATAAAGTCTGTCAATGCAGTGGCAGGAAATGGACTGACATTTTGCTTCCCAAATGTGTCTGGCAGATTTATGTCACTCTGGGGACATAAATGAAGAACTCTTTTTTTTTTAGTCTGATTCAACAGGATTTTTTAAACATACTTCATTTATTTATTTAATGCATACACAATTAACAAAACAATCTTTAAACTTGAAAAAAAGAAAAGAGAACCCTAAACAAACTAAAAATACAAACTTAAAGATAAAAGATACATTTATTAATACTGTAGTCAGTGGTTGACTCATGAATACACTACTCTAATGTGAACGGTACAAAATATTACTGTAAAATATCACAAAATCTCTGCCATAGTAACACATACTGTTGCATTCTTTGGTTCATAGAAAATACTGCCGTTTCTAAAATAGATAGATCACACATTTCTAACAACCATTCCTTAACATCTGGAAATAATCATGTTCCCAATTTCTCAGTATGATTCTTTTAGCCAACTCCCATGTTCAATACAACCATAATTCCTGATAAACAGTCAATTCCAAAGATTTGGTGTAAAATTATATGATTATATAATTTGGTATATAAAGATTAATTGTAATCTTTAACATCATCTTTAACATTTAAAGATTTTCCCATAAATCTGTTTATACACATTAACACACTATCCCAAAAATAGATATCAAATGATCACATGGTTATGTTATATGGGTCAGTGAACCCCCCAATTTTTTATACCTTCAGCAAAGAAAATTTGATGTCCACCTTTCCAAATACATTCCTTGGGGAGTCTCAACAGGGCACTCTTCGTTTTTTTAGATTTCCAAGAATTTAGATTCATGAAAGAATATCTCTCCTTTGCTGGAGAAGAACACATTCAGGAAATGTTTCATGGGGAGCCTTTTTGAGCAACACGTACATAGGGTTTATCTCTTATCCCTAACTGCATTTGGTATGTCTGCTTTCATTGGTAATTGGCTTGGATGCTTGCTTTCATATTTATTAGGAATTATTTAACTTCCTTTATTATTTTCCATGCTGTCTGGTTCTTCATTGAGGCTTGCCAGGACCACTGCTCAGTGACCACATGGTTTGCATGAAACAATGTTAGTTCAATCTCAGCACCTCAGAGGGTTCCTTAGACAATCACTGCTATTGGACTAATGATCTGTTTTGGTATAAAGCAGCTTGTGAAGGATATAATTCAACAGGAGTCACTAAGAACCACACTGGCTTGTGTAACAGGGCCCTGGATTTTGTTTCTTGAATGTGGAAGAGGAGAATATGCCACCTTTTGAGGTCCAAAGTAAAAAGCCACCATTGTTGGCTTTCAGTAGTGTGCTGGGGGTGACATTCCCAAAAACGCATGGGACCAGAAACCAAGAAGTAGGTGTGGCCAGGACAAAAAGAAGATTTGATTTAATTTCAGTTTAGTTGGCGTTGGCATATATTTTCATTGCTATTATATCATATTGGTTGCTTGAAGAATTCCCCACCTTTGTCACATTAAAAATGTTAAGTCAGTGGCAACTTTTGGAGGAGCTGTGGGTCATCATCAAGATTTATATGGGGAGGAGTGTGCAATATTTGGGTCCAAAAGTGGGCAGAGCTGCCTTGACTCTGGCAGGGACATCTTTGCCGCGTGGGTTGGCAGCTCCTTGAAGAAGCCACACTCAAATTCAGGAAAAAGACTTGGTTTCTTCAAGGAACTGCCAACAGGAAGAGTGAGAGAGTGCCCATGCCAGATCCTACTGCATCCCTCTGTGACCAAATTTGGGGAATTGGGAAAGGTGGATTTGTGCCTCCATTTAATCCTTGTGTTGTGATGGACCTCTTTTTCTTCTCCTTCTCCTTCCCCATCCCTGCTTCCTCTCCTGTTTCTCCACCTTCCGTTCAGGCGTCGGCTACTCCCGATCTGTTCCTCCAGCATACCCACCGCCCCAGGATCCACTCAATCAGGGACAATATTTGGTAACCGATGGCATAGCCCAACCGCAGGTCTATGAGTTCACCGAACCCAAACGCAGCCAGTCACCGTTCTGGCAAAACTTCAGCAGGTTAACGCCATTCAAAAAATAATATATAGAGTGAGAGGGAGAGTTTTAAAAATAAATCTAAAAAAATTAAAAAATAAATTAAAAATATATTTATAGATGGACCTTTTTTGGAGAAGCACTGTTGAAACTTAACTATATAT